GATATTGAAGTCAAAAGTGACAGTTCAAAATAGTATCTGTTAACGGTTTTTTTATTAAAATAAAACTTAAAAGAATATGCTATCATGCTATTAAAAAAACGATTAAATTGCTTGAATTGTATAAGAGATATTTACGAAAACTTTTCTTGGGGACTTTTGGAACACCCTGTATATAAAAGATATTAAGGAAGAAAATTTTTTGACATACTTTGAAGGATGTTTCAAAAGTTTGAAATCTCGAAAAAAAAGTTGTTTATAGGTATAAAGAGAATAATCTCTAACGTATTTAGGGTGCTGTGTGGGTGTGTAGCGTGGGTGCAGATATGTGGGCGTGCGTATAAAAAGTCAAAATACTAACACACACTCATACCGATACCGCACCCTGCTTTTTCTTGAATGCTAACGTCTTGGATGGAGAAATATCTGTAGTGTGGTCAGTGTCTGTAACGGTGGAGCCGGAAAACTTCAAGTTAAAACTTACATTCATTATTTTCTTCGAAAATACATGTAAGTTTCACAAAATAAAGTAAACACAATAGGAAAAGGGAAAGAAAGACTTCTCATTTAATTAACCGTCATCAGAATTTTGTACTGTTCTATCCATTTGATCATTATTATCATCCTTTGATTTTAATTTTTGCAGTGCAGTTTATCTATTATCTACCTCAGTGAGAAAATCTACTCTATTGATATCATCAAATTCATCAGTACGCATAAATAATCATCGAGCCTACTCAAGGTACTTAATTGAATTTGTTGGATTTGATGTTTCTTCTTCACACTTAAATAAGTAATAAATATCGATATCTGTTAAGAGCTTTCCAAAGACAGCTGTTTCATCATCGTTTACTTCAATATCTCTTGAATGTTTATCGACTCATTTTTCATATAAATTTCTTTGACCAAAAAAAGATACATACAATTAGATTTTTTTTAATTGTCTTAGGCACAACTGAAGCATTCACTCGCCCATATGTAATTTAAAAACAATTGCTTGTTTGCCATTTGATTATCTTTAATAAATCTCACACATTCATCTTCATCTGTAAACATGTGTAATACATTGTTAATCGATTCATTTCCTTATTCAATACTAGTATTAAACTCAGTATTACGAATAAAATTGTTGGCATCGTGTGAACGTTCATCCGGTGGTAAACTATTTAGATTAGCGTTATTGGCGAGATCGACTTTACTAGGACAATTTTTCCGATGGTTGTCCATGTTTTTAGTCGGTAAAATGATAGTATGATCAGGTTTGGGTTTGGGTGTGGGGTGTGGATGTGGGTGTGGGTGGGTGTGGGTGTGGGTGGGTAAGTGTGGGTGTGAGTGTAGGTGTGGGTGTGGGTGTGGGTGTGGGTGGGTGGGTGGTTGGGTGTGGGTATAGGGGTGGATATGGGTTTGAGTCTGGGTGTGGATGTAGGTGTGGATGTGGGTGGGTGGGTCGGTGTGGATGTGGGTGAAGATAAAGAGTAGGCGATATCCACACCCCACACCATACGCCCTCACCCACACCCACACTCACACCCACACCCACACTCTCACACCCACACCCACACTCTCACACCCACATCCACACCCACACTCTCACACCCACATCCACACCCACCACCCACACCCACACCCACACCCAAACCCACACCCACACCCACACAGCCACACCCTCACACCCACCCACACCCTTGCCCACCTCTAATTTGCAGTGTGCACATGTCTCTATCTTTGGTAAAAAAATCAGCTGATTTCATCGAGCTGTAACGGAGATATTCAATTTTCTTTCCTAGAAAGTGAGTTTTGCACTATACTATATATATTTTTTTCCTATCTGTGAAAAAGTAAAGTTTTCTTCCCGAGGTCAGCAGTGATCTTTAACAAAGGTTGTCACTAACCTTGTCCGTATGGATTTGGAGTGGGGACATGCCTCTAACTTTGGTAAAAACATGAGCCCATTTAGTTGAACCATAATGGAGATATTCCAATCTTTCTTTGGCTAAGGACTTACTGGACACCCTATATTAAGCACAACATAATGATGGCAGAAACAATGAGGAAAAAAAAATTTCTTTTTAATGTGCGTGGTTGTGTATGTGAGTGTCGGTTGGTGTAGATGTAAAGAAGACTCACATCCACACCCACACCCACACCCTCACCACTCGTGTAACAAGATCTATATCAGTTAATTTTAATTAAATTATGCTGAAAACTGCTTTATTATGGGCACTTTCTTTCTAAAAGATGAACATTGTTGGTTATTTTTCACAGCAATGCAATTCAATATGAACTCTTTTTGTAGGTTGATTGACATACATTGAACCTCCTTGATTAGATTTTCGTCTGTAATAGTAGAAAAACAGTATTCTTTTGAAAGAATCTATTTGAAGATGAATATATTATTTAAATCAATTTCATTGATAGTTAACTTTCGATTAAGTAAAAATGAACATAGATATTCTTAATGATCTATTGTTTAATTAAATGTAAAATTTTATTGAAATATGCTATTTAATTAGACAATGAAAATATTTCCAATAGATTTATTTATTATGATAAGCTATATTATTTTGTTTCTTTTAGTATATACTTATGAAAATATCTTATATCGATATGTGAAAAAAAAAGTTTTTCTTTTTGTTTTGCTTTTTTCGAGAAAAAAAACAAGCGAAAAATTTTTCTTTTCTATTAAAACAAAAGAAGAAAAAATTGAAATAAGATTGATATGCAATAAAGACAATGATAAGTAACACAAAAAAAGATTTGTCGACCGGTTAGACAATATTTAAAGAAAGAAAAAAAAACAAAAGAAAACGATTACATATTTATAGAAATAAATAGACGCGTTATTTTCTTGTTTTTGACTTCATATATAAATCTATATGACAGAAAACATTCTCTGTCATATAAAGGTTTTTGTTTTGGACGGATCTATTTATTTTCTTTTTTCAATTGATCATTATGAATAATAAAATTTGATAAAAAATGATTAGTATTATCATTTGTATGATAATTAGTTAAATGTAAACGTCGTTTTATTGGAATTTGTAATAATGATGTTGAAAATGATTGTTTTTTTATTGATTTTTTATTATCATTCTTATTAAATATTGTTGATAATAAATTTTCTTCTCTATGACGAATTTTTTTTTCGATTATGTCGAGGAATTGTATTTGAACGATGATGACTAAGAAATTTTCTTTCTTCATAATTATTATCATTTAATTTTTCATTAATTAATGATAAATTTTCTTCATTTTTATTTGAAATAATTTTTTCATCTAACTTCAAATTCATTTTTCGAGATGTTGAACTTAATAATGATGATAATGAAGAATTATTTACTTTTTCAATTGATTTACCTTAAAAAATAAGATTTTAAATGATAAAAGAAACGATCTATTTGTATTTAAATATTAAATTCAATTAAATCAAATATCATTATACAATTCAATACTCATTTTATTACTTACAAAATTTTGTATCAGTAACTATTATCCATTGCAAATTAAAATAAGGGTGAGTATGTTTTTAAATAGCTTATCATAGAAACTAGCTAGAAGGTTTAGATTTTCACCGTTTGTAAGAGGAAAGAAAACTCCATCGAACCTTGAATATCAGATTTCTCTGACAACTCTTCTCAGGGATATCTGCCACATTTTTTAAAAAAAGGAGGCTTTTTAACATGTTCAAAACCTCAGTTTTTCGTCTAAAAATTTGAAAAAAGTGAATTTTTTATGGAAAATCTGCCAAAAAAGTGTATTAAATTATGAATAACTTTTGACTCGCTTAACATTTTAATGTCGAACTTATACAGGTTACTGGACTTTAGTGGTCGATTTTGGTTCACAACTCATACTTGCAATTCGAAAATTTTCATAAGATAAAATGCTTTCTGCTTCAAAAATTCGACTGGTAGCACTAAAAAAACTTCTCAGAAAAAAAAATGGTATTCAAGACTCGATGCGATTTGCTTTCCTCTTTCAAGCGGTGAAAACCGCATCTCTCTATCTAGTTTATATCAGAAGTTATTCAATAAATGGCCACCCTTTTTTTTTTATTTTGAAACGGGTATTAGACACATTCAATTTCAAAATTCTTCATAAGAAATGAATTCAATCTATTTTATTAATCAATATTCAATAAATTCGAATAGATTAATTTTTTTCTCATCTATGTTTATTTTCAATATCAACCCTAGAGAATGTAGAGAATTAGGGATAGTCGAAAAAGTACTCTGTTATCAATATATCACTGGAATTTTCGGGTACTTTGGCAAATACACTACTAAAAAAATGTGTAGTAACTGGATACTTAATCAGCTCCTATTGTACAGTATTTCTAGATATCCTGTTTGCCAAAATTTCAGTATGTTCAGGATCGAATCTAACCATTGACTTCTTTCATTGTTGTTTCTCAGAAAGCAATTTATTACATTTCTTTTTTGACTTTATTGTATTAAAATTTTTTCCATTTCTCAAAGCTCCGTAGGTCAAATGGTGATATCTGACCGGACTTGAGCTAGTCAGGTATTCACTAGATTACATCAGTATTTTCTACTCATGATCTATGATCAAGATTGACATGTTCTCGAGTAATACACAGTTAAAAAAAAAGATTAATTTGTTATGTTTTGCTCAGTTGTTTATATGGAGACGTGCATGGAAAAGAAAATGGTCAATGAACACTCGCGACACAATATGTAACAAATGTAGGATACCCTGTAGAGTTTTCCGCAGTAAAATACACATGAGGATACTCATATAAGTTCTTGTTTAGTGAGCGTACTTTTATGGGAACTCTAAGCACAGAGATGTCGTGAACGAGGGCGTGACACTCATCCCCCTTCCCCAATCGTCGAAAATTTCATTTTTCTTGCTCGATGATTTTTAATATTTTTTTAAAAATGTTCGACAATTTTCATAAAATATTTTGGAAACTTAAAAAAAATTCGCCGTCAAAAAAACCCCCCCCCCCCCCCCCCCCCCCCCCCCTTCTCCAACTTTTCTCTCTTCGGAGCATCACTGTCTATGCAGTACATGTGTACCCTGAACTCAGTACTTTCTCTAAAGTAACTATTAACTTATTATTATGATAAATGTAAGACAAACCTTTTGCTGAACATTCCGTTATTGAACTCATTGAATGAAATGTAAAATTTGGTGGTAAAGATAATTGTTTTGTTAATGGAAAATAATTTACATTATTATCATTGAGAAACTAAAATGAAGAAGAGAAAATAAAAAAAAAACAAAATAATTTTTAATTAAATATAAATATACATCAAGTTCTTTTTCATCAATTAATGGTTGTTCAAGATAATCTCTATCATGTGCATCAGCTTCTAATTGTCGTTCAATTTCTTCATCTATTTCTGTATCATCAGACATCATTCGATTTGATTCCTAAATTAAAATAAATATTTATTATTTAATCAGATTTGTTTTGTTTTAATAAAAATTGCATCAAGTTTTTTCATTAAAACAGCAGCAACAACATTAACAGGAACAAATTGTGCCATAAGAACAAATATAACAAAATAAATTGGTGCTAATGCTGTCATTAAATGATTTTTTCCACCATGTGTAGAATCATCTTGACGTAATGCATCCTTTTTTTATTAAAAAAGAAAAAAAATAATTAAAAAAAAAAACAACAACAAAGTATTACTTTCATTATTCCATTCCAATTATCACCAGTTGCAATACGAAATAATGTTAAAGAAGCCATACCAAAATCTTTAAAATGTGCATGTTTATCAAGTCCAGTACATAGACGTTCTTCACTACATTCTAATTTTCCAAATAATTCAACACCAAGTGCAGCAAATATGAAGAAAAGAAGAAAAAATAAAAGACCCTTTAAGAAAAATAAATAATTATTATATTAATTAATAAAAATAATATTTTTTACCAAATTTCCAACTTGTGGTAAAGCTTGAATAACTGTATCTAATAATAATGCTCGAATACCTTTTGCCATTTTTAATAATTTAAGTACTAAAATTAAATTTATTTTGTTTTTTTTTCATTTAGATATTCATTTAAAGAGAAGATTATTATTATTTTTCTTTTGTTTTGTAAAAAGAAATTTTAATGATATATATTTTTTCAATTATTTTACAAAAACTTTTATATACTTATCAAGTATAATATACTATTTACTTAGAAAATGTTTTTTTTGATAGTTTTTGGCGAGGAATAAATAATTAAGACTTATACCTCGAAATTTAATGAAATATTTGAAGTTTTTTTGTTTTTAAATTTTAAATCTCTTTAGTTGAAGTCCGTTGTTTCCTTATCGGATTTCCTTATTTATTATAAAGGAAGTTTTCGTTAATGAACATTCTCATTATATATTTATCAAGAAAGATGATTGTCAATTGAATAGAAAATAAATTTATTAAATAGTTAAATTATCTGAATAAATAATAGAATAGAATATATTCATATTCATATTCTTCTATCAGTTTTTATAAATTGAATATAAAATAATAAACTAACCTCGTGCAATTCTAAGTACTCTCATAATACATATAAGAGTTGGATTAATAGAAAGTTTATGTCCATTATTCATTTTTTCTAAAAGAATTCCAGCTATTGATAATATAACTATTGTTATATCAAGTTGATTCCATCTTTAAATAAAATATATAATTAAAAAAACAAAAAAAAAGTCTTTGTTTTCTAATAAAATACTTGTCTTTAAAATAACGTAATGGTCCAAGTGCAATAATTTTTGATATTGATTCAATAATAAAAACAGTTGTAAATACATAATTACAATAATCAAGAGCCATATCAAATGCCTATAAAATATTTAATAAATGAAAATTAAAAAACAAAATAAAAAAGAAAAGAATACCGGTGGCATTAAATAAAATTCTAATGACATAGTAACAACATTAAGACTAATAACAGCAGCAATAATTAAATCAAAATATTTACTATTACAAATATTATGTAAATGTCTTCTCCATGGTGAAAAATGTGCATAATATGGTATTTCACTCATACGACGTTTTTTACGTTCAATTTTTTTTGCACGTTTAGCTGTACGTCGTGCTTTTTCTTCACGTTGTTGTTCAGCACGATATTTATGAAAATTTTCAACAACAACACCAACAAACATATTTATTACAAAAAAACTAACAAGTAATAAAAATGATATAAAATAAACTAATTTAGCTTCATTATAATTTCTTATTGGTTGCTTATCAATATCAACAGCATCAATACCATTATACATTATTTCTACCCAGCCATCTCGAGATGATAACACAAATAATGATAATAATGCCTTTAGTTATATACATATATATATATATATATATTATTCAATAATAATACATACTTGACCTAAATTATCAAAATTATATTGTTGATTTTTCCAACGATGATCAGACAATGATTCACATTGTTGTCGCGTTGTTGTATCACGAGCAAATGGACCTTCACAATAATAAAATTTTCCTTTGAATAACTAAACAAACAAATAAAAGATTACTTTTTTATTTTTTTAATTTCGATATAGATCATATTAATCTTATTTATTTGAATTTCAAATTAGAATTTTCTGTCTATTTTCATTTCAAAATGAATTTAATTTTAAAATAAAAGCATTGCAATTTTTTTACATGAAATATTTTCTCATCTTTCTAATTACTCGTAGATCTATTTTTATTTTATTCATTGATTTTTATATTGATCTATAAACTAATTGTTCTCGATGATTCAAATTAAAACTTGTTTTTGAGAGTGCGGGAGAAGACTCATCGATTTTTTCTTTATGAGACAGTCGATTGAAGAATATTCGAAATTTTACATAATAAATGTGGAAACATGATGGCAGGTTTTCACAACGTTTGAGTTTCTGACTCTAGAAGACTCAACCAGGACTTCTTTTACAAAAATCATCAATAGTTCGACAAATCATTCTCATCTTCGAACTCGAACGAGACATTGATGAGACAAAACTGTGTAGAAAACTTCCTTGTAATCGGACTTTCCATTGAAAAATTATCGTACAAACGGCAGGACACACTGACCAATTCTAGAGTGTATGAACTTTTTGAGTATACAAAAATTAATGATCAGGAGGTAGCGCGACGAAGGCCTACCTACACTACCTTAGATGTGCGCCGTATCTTAAAGAAAAATCTATAAAAAAAAGCGGAAACTTTCAGTTTTTGTGAGAATTCATTAGGAAGCTGAAAATATTTGTCAGACGGTAAAACAGATTTTCCATTTTTGAAGGAGGCTTCCTTCTATATCGAGAACCCTACTTATGATTAACCTATTTAGTTATTATATCTCATATAAAAAGTAAATAATTAATATAACTACATTTCTATGTACAATTTTCATACTTTCTATAATAATTAACAGTCCATTATTCGTTTAATATTAAGAAAATAATTAATCTAAATTTTATTTTTAATAAATCATATTTTTTCTTACTTAACCCCCCCCCCCCTCCTCCCCAAAGGCCACTGCAGTGACCATTTGTAGAACGACTCCAAAAAAGAAAGAGAGCATCGGATTAAAAAAACCTTAAGCACTTTTTTTGTAGTAAACTTCATGGGCTATCCATTGGTAAAAAGACTGTTCCGTCTTTGAAATAAAGGGTCTAAAAAATTGAAATTTTTTAAGTAATAAAATACTTTCTACTCGCAGCCAATAGAGATCTCATGAAATTTCTATGTGGTATTAATTGATGAAGAAGTTCTTTGATAAATAAAATATATTTCAAAATTTTAATGATAACTCAGCGAATATGACATACAAAGAGGTCTAATTGACCGTGTAGCCACCAATTAATCTATGGGACAAAATCAAGAGTATAGTTAATACATATATTAGATAAATCGACTCATGATAGGTCGAAACTATTTATGATGAATTCAATTTGATTAGAGGTTATTAAATGGCCAAGAATAAAATTGGTTTTAATTTGAAAAAACATCTAAAAAAGTGCATGTATTTATTTTTATGGGTTCATTTCTCGACTTTTTTCCGTTATTCTAATAGCACGATATAGATGCTTCTTCTGTCCACTAAATATTGTGGTCAAAGAATAATAAATACGAAAACATCGGATTTAAGTCCGAGTCTTATGTGTACTTCAAAAAGTGAAAAGATATATTCATTTTGTTTTTTATCATCTGAAACATAACTACCCTATTCGATGCAGTTTTTATGCTTTTTTAGACCTTTTTCGAGGGATGTTTTGTTAGAAAGCTACAATTTGGTTCAAAATTAATATCAGATTCGGAATCAGCGTTAAAAACTAAGTCGTTTATATATTTTATGAAGAATTCTAAGAAAAAAATGTTTTTTTGAAAAAATCCTTGTACCCCCCTTCGGGGATGGTCTTCCCAATAATGACAATTTTTTCGATAACTTAGCCATTTCTTGACGGATCCTTCTCATTTTCGAACTCAATCAAGACATTGTTAAGACTGAACTGTATAGAAAATTTCATCGTGATTGGACTCTCCTGTCGAAAGTTATCGTGTAAACGGCCGGACATACTGACCGATTCTAGAGTGTACTCCGGCTTGTCGAAACGTAACGCTGTTACGTTTTTGACATACTATTCTTTAATTAACTTGGAAGGTTTAATAGCTAGAAAGTTCATTCAAACGCCATTCGACAAAGCTTATCAAACTCTATTTATGCTATAAGAACAAACTTTTTCGACTGAAGTCTCGAGCGTCTAGAAAGGTTTTATTATCGCGTAACGCTGTTACATAAGAAGACCCTTTTTTTCCAGTACCGCCGAGAAAACTTTAATTTCTAGCAAAACTATTTCTCCAAATGAAAACTTTCCAGAGTCAGTTTTGTACAGCATCGAACAAGTTTTTAGGCAGTAAAAAGGATTTTTCTAAAGAATGTTTGCTCAGATGACAAATGCTAAATACAAACGTAACGCTGTTACACAGTTTTTTGTGGACTAGTTTTGAGGCACTTAACATGTTAAGAATGGTTTGCTTTTTACAAATATTACTCATTTCCATGTAGATAATCTTCTACATAAGACTGAGATTAATAAATCGATCCGGGACCTCATAAACCGGACACTAAGTTGGAAACTATGTAAAAGTCTAAAATGTGTCTTTACTTACAAAAGTCAAAACTAAATAGATCATTTTGTAGAAAATAAAATTCTGCATCGAATGGTATGTCTCTCAATATTTTTTCAAAAATGTTTTTGGTTAAAAAATTTAAAATATGATTTTTCACAAGTTTAAAACCCGGTTTTCGATTCTAAAACCTAATCTTTTTACAAAATAAATATCAAATTCGTAATCAGCGTTAAAAACTGCGTCTAGTAACTCATTCAGATTTGTCTAACTCGAAAAAAAAGTTTTTCGAAACTTGATCAGCGAAGTGTCGCGTTACGTGGACAAGCCGACTCACTTTTTGAGTACACAAAAATAAACTCTTACAGGGTAGTTCAATTTTCTTTCCCCAGCCCATGATTTCTGGATAAATGAAATCGCCCTACTCTTGGAGCAGAACATTCGATAGATCAAATTATAACAATTGCATACTAGCGAGAGTAGTACTGTATTAATAAAGTTATTTTATCAGTGGCTCTTCAGGAACCTCCATGGAAATCTAGAATTAATTATCATCTATAAAATAGTATTTACCTGTACACCAAGTATACCAAATATAATAAAAAAAGTGCAATATATAACAACGATATGACCAATAGGTCTTAATGATGAAAGTAATGATTGTACAACAAGTTTAAGACCAGGTGCTCGACTAATAACTATAAATAAATAAAAAAAAAATGAAAACTAAAAAAATTTTATTATTTTTTGTTTTAAAATAATACCTCTCAATGGTCGTAATGTTCTTAATAAACGAAAAACTCTTAACATGCTAAATAAACGTGTTGTTGCATCTGATTCTAAATTGGCTGATGTTAATGGACCACGATGTATTGTAGCAAGATCAATAATTGATGTTATAACAAGAGAACCATCCATAAGATTCCATCCACTACGTAAATAAGCATGTGATCCACATATAAGTCCACTTGCTATTACTTTTGCTGACATTTCTATTGTAAATATTACTGTAAATATAATATTTGTTAAATTTAAAAATTGTCGTTCCTAAAAAAACAACAAAATATTTATTTTAATATTTTATTTCGTTTTTTGTTAAATGAAAAGAAAAAAAAAACATTTGTTTCATACAGGACTTGTTGGTGGAATTGATGGACGTTCCATAGCTAGTGTTATACAATTAAGAGCTATTATAAATAATATTAAATAATCAAATGATTTTTTTAATATTAAAGCTTGTAATGCTTTACGAATTCTAAAATAATCAAAAAGAAAAATATTGTTTTTTTTTATTAAGAAAGAAAATTTAATTGATTACCGATTTTCTGGTGAAAATATATAAAGTGAATAATTTTCTCGTTTTTCAAAATGTTTATATAATCGTTCTCCACATAAACAATTTAAACATACTCGTTCAGGCTTAAATATAAAAATAAAAGAAAATATTCATTTAAATAAAATTTTTCTTCGAATTAAAAGACTCTTGAAAATTATTATTATTATTTAGATCAAAATAAAATCATTTTTTCAATTTTAAAATATTTGAATATTTTCATTATGAATAGATTAATTGTTTTCTTTTAATATAAATGAAATTATCATTTTTCAGTGTTCTATCCGAAATTATTAATTATGTAAAATTTTAAATTTATATTCGATATGAATCGATATATTTTCAATAGTTAGATTCATTAATTACTGTAGTAAACAAACGTTCTGTCTCTAGCCGATCTCGTCATTATAGTTTCTAAAGATTTGAAATTTTGTATACATATATTAATTTAAGAGTAAAGGTCGACCGCATCACTTACAACTCGATGGTTTGAATAAAAAAGGCAATTATAACATATAATACCTATTTCTACTTGAAGATTTATGAATCTAGAATGGAAAGGTGTCGGGTTAAACCTTTTATAGAACTATGCACATTTTACTCTAATCATTATTATAGGGAAAAAAAGCATCTAATGTCTTTCAAGGATCAAGAATTTAATGATAGTTGAATGAATCAGACAGTCCGATATTCAAAATAGGCTGGAATTGAGTTTTATATAAAAATATCAAGTATTAATCATTTATATTTAAGGGTATCCTCCCTTTCTCTTTTTTGACACTTTCTGATTTTCGCAGACGATAAAAACGATCAAGCTGAAATTTTTAGCAAAGATAGAGTACTAAAAATAAAGAGATATGTGTTTCGAGGAGGAACAAATTGAAGTTTTTGTGGGATTTTTGAGAGACCCGCATCCTGATACATTACGATCCCGTATAAAGTTTGTCTAATTGGGCTGAAATTTTATTTTTAGATACTTAAGACTAATTTACAGAGGTAAATTTAAGCTTTTTCGAAAATTTCACTTTCTTTTTATTTTATAAGAGAAATACATCAGTACTCAGGCTTTGGTAATTTTGAGTATTATTGGTAAAAATTTCAGCTCGATTGGAGAAAGTTAAAGGTGGGTCGTAAGCAACCAAGATTTAGAAAATTAGTGTTTTATGTAACGCTAAGAAAAAGAAAAACATTTACAGATGATTACTATGAAAAATAGGAATTTTCTCAATGCAATAACTCTGTTAAAGTTATGTATTTAAAGTTGAATAATATCTCTAGTTGCATATGATACTTCAAGCTATGATATGTTAAGATCAGCTCACAAAAGAGTGGGTATCCTTAAGTCCTCCTCCCCCTCAGAAAAGTCAATTTTATCGATTTTTGTGATTTATACTGATTAGATAGAGCAAAGTGTCTACTCTGGAATGCACTATAGTTTATTGATTTTATGATGAGATTTAAAGATATTAAATACGATTTTTCTGAATCTCCATATTGAAAAAAATAAAGTTTCTAAAAACCTATTCTTCGTTTTTCTCAAAATACATTTTTTCTAGCATACTCTTTACGCGAGCAAGGTTTTCTTAATTCATAGTAGACAGGCAGGGTTAGATCTGATTTTTGAATTTCTCTTTTGATGTTCTATTTTTGTTAGCAATCTTTTTGGGTATGATTTGGTAAATTTTACAAAAAACAAATAAAGGAAAATTCAAAAATCAAGCCCTGTGAGAATCTAGCTCTAAGAATACTCTACAACTTGAAAATCACCCGGGCTTATTAGCTCGTTCAATTTTCAAAGCCCAAGGTATTACTGAACATGTCAAAGCCTGTGCACAAGACTGGTGCAAAAAGAACAAAATCCCAACGAATTGATCATCTCTAGACAATATCATCCAATCGATGAAAGAGCCATAACAAACACAAGCAGCAAAGAAATGGTGAACCAAATGTTAATGATAAGAAACATCACAAAAACGAAAAGAAACCTATCCGATTTACATCTACACATGCAAGACGAAAAAGCTGGATATATTTACCATGTAATTCATGGCGAATATAACTCAAACCAGACTCACAAGGTCTGACGGTTATATTCGGAAAACAGTACTTGGTTCTGTGATTCTACGACGATCAAGCAAGAAACCAACTGAACGAACATTTTCATTTAGACATGAACACAAACTTCTTTCTCCTTCCTATCCCTCTCCCCTTTTTGTGTGTTTTTCTGTGTCTTCTTGTATTTTTTGATCTTTACCCTATATCAGTGAGGTGAGGGTGTAATAAACTAAAACTAAACTAACTATTAGTTTGTTTTCTTATTGTGAAATCCTTGCCCGCGTAAAGGATACTTTTGGCTAATAAATTGACTATAACTCCTTAGTTTATTGGAGATATTTTAACAACAATGTATTCCAGCCTAGACGAACATTCCCTAAAGTTTTGATTGAAATCGGATGAAAAATAACAAAGTTCGCTTCTGAGTGAGGAGCTCTCTTAATAGAAAGTAATATAAAATTTCTTATCCAATCTTCTTCAGATTACCAATTTCAAAACATGAAAAAAGAATATGTTGTTTATCTTAATTCTCTCTCTTTCTAATTGAGCGATCAAAGCTGTTGTCATTTCACTAACCTATATTCTTAAATTATTATATGTACAAAAATAATTAGCAATTAATTTTAATTATTTAATTGAATAATTATTACAAAATTTAATCGAAAACAATCTTTTGAGAAAAAAAAATTAAAATAAGAAAAAAAAACTAACTTGAAATAAAATTTGATCATTATTAGTACTATTAATATCAATTCGCATATCAGATTGATTATTAATTGTAGTTAATATATTTGAATCATAATCATTAACTAATCGAAATGTTTTATCTGAATATTGATAAAAATCATGTTTAGGTGTTTCATAAATACTTGTTGTTTCAAATTGATTTAAACAACTATTTAAATTATCAAATGTTAATCGACGTTTTTTTATTTTATCAATATTAGATTTATCTTGTTCAATTAATTTTCCATCTTTAATAATAAAACGTCTTGTTAATGATGGTTGATATGAATTAATTCTTCGTAATGGATTTGATAAATTAATTTTTTTATAATATCGATAATTAGAATTATAAATAGTTGTAAATGAATTATTTTTTTGTAAACTATTAAATAAATTATTTTTAAGTGTTGATTGTGTATAACTTCTATGTAAAGGTAATGAAATTTTTGATGATTGTTTATCTATTGATTCAATACATGTATGAAAACTTTGTGTTGTTGATGATGATAATGATTGTGGTTGTGATGAACGTTTTTTAATTATTGATTTATATGGTGATGATGTATTTGAATTTGAATTTGAACATTTTTTTAATTGATTTTCAACAACACGTAAACTTGAATCATTTTCATTACTTATAACAATTTTTGGTATACTCATTATTTTAACTTCTTTAATAAGGAATTTTTATTTAAATTTTAAACTTTTTTGTTTTATTTAATTACCTTTAGTTCGAATATTCTTATTATCTTGACTTGTTTGCTTATGACTTTCTATTTCATCATTAATTAATTCATGTGAATTAACATTTGTATCAATATCACCAGTAAAAAGTGCTTGACTCTAAAAACAAATAAAGAGAATTTAAATTAAATTCAAAAAATTTTAATTTAATTCTTCTAACTTTAAATGGATCAACTTTTCCATATCGATTTGAATTACTTCCAGTATCAGAATTACTACCCATTTTCTATTTAATTCAAAAAATTAATTTATTTAAGAAAAACAAAAAAACTATTTGTATTTGTTTACTTCTGTCGAAAATTCTTCAACAAGAATAGCAACAAGTAAATTAAATAAAACATAATTTCCAAATGTCCTTAATGCAATAAAATATAAAGCTGCCCATGCACTTGTATGTTCTATACCATTGTAAAGTACTTCATTCCAATCTTCTTGAGTTAAAACCTATTTTTTAAAAAATATTTTCTTTTAATTATTAATCATATATATGATTAGTTGTGTTAGAAGCAAGCAGACATAAGAGCAATAGGTATATAGTGCAAAATTTAAGCAAAAACTATATGGTATATATACAAAGTGAGCAAACAAAATTGTTTTCAACGAGAATTCATCAATAAAGATCATTTTTCAGGATTTTTCTGTAAACTTTTAATATTTTGTTGCTTTTTTTCCTCATTAACTGTGTAGAACAAAAAAAAACAGTGAAAAATTTTCAAATTAAACTGATAATGAGGGAACCTCCGGAAGTGATTCTCATTGGTTTCAAGAAAATTTTTTTTTATTATAGATCCTAATCAATGCCTTAGTAAAATTCCTAAAAGGATTTGAATGTATGATGCTTTCTTCAAAATTGATGACTACTTTACTGAATTCTGAAATTATTCATAAGTGTTTATGGAAATTCGACTTGAAAACGATAGATTTAATGATTCTAAAAGTTTCAGTCAAAATGAACTTCTTTTTTTCTCAATATATCTCAAGGAAACAATATTCTTTGTAGTTGAAACTTTTTGATTCATTAGACTGATCCATAGACGAAATTCCAGTGTTTGAATTTTTTGATAAACGTCTAAGAATAAGTTGGAAGCAGAGATGTCCATTGCGGTTAAAAAGTGACCGCTGCCGCACCGTGATGATAACAGCAAAAAGGCTAACGTACCGCTACCGCTCCGCGGTGAGTAAAATACAAAGCCTACCGCGACGAAAGCGGCGCGGTGGACATATCTGGTAGGAAGTAAAGCAGTCATAAAGAAGGCGTTGTATACTCAAATTCGTTTGGAATTTTATAAAGGTTGATCGGAAAATTATTTTGTTCACTTTTGATTCATGAAAAAGTATCCTCAATGAGTAAAAACCTATGAATTATGACCAGAGTTTTGTATTCCTGTCGAATATAAATTTAGAAATTTCGTGAGATAGTAGTTAAATAATCTTTGAAAGGTTCAAAAAATTCGATTGAATGGAAACTTTTTTTACCATCGTGATCCGAAACTAAAAGTTAGAACTTTTATTATTATATATCAGCTTGCAGAGCAAAACCTATCCTACCAAATGTGCTATTTGAGTTTTTTATGTCCTTGAACACGATTTCTGAATTTCCGTTTTTTCTAAATCCTTATTTTTAAAAAATTGTTTCATGTAAAACGAGCTCTTGGAAGGGATAGAAAACTATAGCTTAGTGTTATTAAGGTTATTGAATAATATCTATAGATTAAAATGAATCTCAGAAAGTTTCCTCATTCGTAGTTAAATTTAATTAGCAAGGTGATATAGCATTAATATCATTCGAAAGAATAATATCTAATTTAGGATGATATTGGAGAAAAACTACCTGAAAAACGGTTAACAATGCAGAAGTTAATGAATCAAAATTTTTTCTCTGTTGTAAACAATGAAAATCTTTGAGATGAGTATCATTTTTGAAAATATCATTTTGATAACATGTACAACATGTACATTTAAGATGAATTTCTTTATGTGATGTTATATTAAATGCTTTTATTGAACAAAATTCACCACCAAATAAATGCATGCCAAGAATACTATATATAGACACAATTATCAATGACAACATTAAGAAGCAGAATAACAATTTCACTTTAGCTGTGATTTTTTTAAAATTCTTTTACAAAAGCATTAAAAAAAAATTTTTTTTTACTTGAAAAACAGTTAAAATAGCCCATAAAAGTGAATCGAAGTTTTTTCTTGAACATTCAAATTCAAGATGTTTGCTATGTTTTACTCCAATAAATTTGCAAAATTTGCAACCAAAAAGATTCATACCCAATATACTGGAGAAGAGGTTTTTTTAATATATAATTTTATTTAAATATCCAAACACATTTATTGTGTTTCGATTTTTCTGTTTTCTAAACTTACCTGAATATGAATATAAATAAAAGTAATAAAGAGAAAAATGTTGCCACATTATCCATTGTTTTAAGCATGACAACCTATACCAAAAAGAAAAAAAAAACAAAACTAAAAGTTGAAAACTCAAAAAAAAATTTATCCTATTAGATAGAGAATTGAACGGGCCTGCATTTAGATTTTCTTAATTATTGATTTTAATAATTAAGAAAAGTTTGGTTTTCATAGTTTTTTCGATTTTGAAGTATACTATTAGAAAGAACATTGAAAATTAAATAAAGCTGTAGATTTTTTTGAAACACTTTTTTAAATTTAGTAAAATAGATGACTCTAAAGATATTATGTCTTAAGGGATCTCCCCCCCTCCCCCCTTTCCCAAGCCCAAAATATTTTTTTAATATCAAGTTATATTATGATGTACGTAGAATATCTCCACTAAAAGCGGAAAAAAATTTTTTCTATAAGTTTTTTTCATTTTGCATTTTTCTCGAAACTAGTTTTTTATGTATCAAAAACCAATTTTCCCCTTTTTTCTCCGTCATTTCAAGTTCGATCGGGCTGAAAATTTTTTTGGTGAGACGTCAATTGATTTGGGTTGGGCCTTTTTTTTCTTGGATACATTCTACCAATCAAGTTTGAAAGGCTTTGCAAAATTTCTAGGATCCAAAAAACCTAGAAATTTTGCGAAGTGCTCAGTATTTTGGTTCTCCAGCCCGAAATACTTGGAATTTTTGAAAAAAAGAACCCACCACAATTGGGTCTGTCTACCCACAGTAAAAATTTGAGCTCAAACGGATGAAATCTGTGGATTTGTGGGGGGGGGGGAACTTTTTGAGCTTGGGGTCTCTGGAAGTCCATGAAGATGACGTCTGGCCAATTTATGTCTATAACAACTTTTGCTCTAATAATTGAGGTCTATCTACCCTGAAAGTTTCAGGAATTTTCGTTCAGCCGTTTCTTAGAAACACCGGAAAGGTGGGCAGCCCTTAAGCGATCTCCCGTCAAAAAAAAAAGGTTGGTTTTGGTCGAGAATGATCAAGATAGATATTTTTATAATATGAGCGTTATTTTGTTTTGAGAGGTTTTTCAGTGATTGAATTTGTCAGAAAGATAAGAGTAAAAATAAAAGAGCTTTTATAAGCTCTGCATTCGGAATAAAATTTTGGCTCTTGTTTGGTTCTTATCTCTCTTATACATTAGAATAAGAGACTAAAAATTTTACTACAGACATTCTTTTATAATTCCAAAATATTCTTAAAGTTTCGTAGCATTCGAATGCTTTGGGACGAGTTCATAACGTAAATGAATTACAAAATAATTCAAAATCTTCATAAAAGCTAAGAGAAATTCTGAATATAATTTCTGCTAGAATTACCAATGTAAATTTCGTAAGCTTTTCACCCAATATTTGCATTTATATTCTTATTAGAATTCTTTTCCGTGAACCATTACTTTGAAATAGAAACTATAAGGATCTAGTAGGATCTAATAGTATCTAGTAAACCCCTCCCCATAATAGAAGCCCCTGTGAGCTTCTAAACTGCCCATCGTCCAAAATTTTCGGAGAGGGCTTCTATTAAGTCCCAAATTTTTTTAATAGTTTTAGATGTAAAAATGATTCCAAAGAATTTCAGGGGTTATTAAGGTTTTTTTAGAGTTTTCAAAGGACTTTCCAGGAGGTTTTTAGATTTTTACGCTAGCATATAAGAAAATTAAACACTTTTTTATCTTAAGATCTTGGAGATTTTGCTGTGAAAATACTAATAAAATTTTTCAAAAAATTTGTAAAAATAATGGGACTTCTATTATTGGATGGGGTTTAGGACCGGTAGGGTCTACCAGGATCTACTAGGGTTTTGTGGTACCCACATCGAAGGAAACGGGATGTAAGTCGCTTCGCCGTACCGGCACCAAGAGAGAGATGATGTAAGATGTTTTGTGGCACCCACGTCGAGACCGTAGTAGACCCTAATAAACCCGGCAGATCCTGGTAGAATATAAAAATTTCGAATTATTTTGTAATTCATTTCCAACATCCAGTGTTTGGGGCTGAGATCGATTTTTGAGAGTGGAGGAGATGCCTTTAAACTTTTGTTGTTTATTTTAGATTTATATATGAAAATTCTCTCTTTCCAGATCGATCATTCCGATCGTCGAAAATGGCTATTAAATGGTAAATTACTGCCTTAATTTTAGACTTCTTTCACCGTAATCCGTCATATTGTTTTTATGGCTAGAAAACGACCATAATTTTTCCACGATTTTGCTTCTATAAACTAATATGACGGATTATGGTGTCATTTTTCGACATTTTACATCGTTATTATACTTGTTAAGGTCGTTTTATTGGATCTAGATTAATCAATCATTTTCTGTTTGTTATATACTTTTAAAAATGAAAATAGCTATACTTCAATTCGATACATATCGGATGATAAGAGTAATAATAAAATAGAATCGATTACGAAAGATAATTATCAATGAATAAATAATTGATTCGAATAAAGAAAACAAAACATTAAAAAGATTGATTACCAATTGTCGTCTAAGTGTTGGCATAAATCTAACAAGTTTAAGTACACGTAATAATCTAAATGTACGTAAAACTGATAAACCACTATTTTTATTTCCTTGTAATTCAATAAGACTCATAATAACAATAACACTATCAAATAAATTATAAGCATTTTTAATATATTGAAGACATCCATCAGCAATTATTTTTAAAATCATTTCAATAGCAAATAATGATGTAAATACTAAATTACTATATTCTAATGCATTTGTTAATGATTGAGGTTGTCCATGATGTTCAATACCCATTGATAATGTATTTACAACAATAGCTGATAATACAATACGACGAAAATATTTTCCTGCAACAAAATTTGATATAGATTTGTGAAGTCTATTCAAATAAGACCATATATATTTATTCATATATATTGAAATTTTTGATTTTCTCTTTATTTTATTATCATCATCATCATCATCATCATCATCTTCTTCTTCTTCTTCTTCTTCGTTATTAATATTTAATTTTTCATTTTCAATATATTGACGATAGCAATCACATGGATTTTCTTCAAGATATTTATCTGTATTTTCTAAATCTAAATAATTTGATTTTATTGGTTGTTTATTAATTGATATATTATTTAATAAAATAGATGGAATTGAACTATTATCTTGATCACAATAAAATGGTGATGAATGTTGAATAATATCAATATTATCAAGATGACCATTTGTTGTATGTATTGAATCTAATATATATGATTGTTCAGGACTAGCAGCTGGTGCATCACCTATTGATGGTGATATTGATGCACCTGTTCGATTTGATAAACTATCACCTATTTGATTATATCGACAATTTGATTGATGAATTATTTCTATATTTGATGATGAATATAAATTTGATTTTGAATCTCGATTTACATGAATTTCAATTGTTTTAGATTTATTATTTACAAGTTCTTTTCGACGACATTTTCTTTTATCAATTAAACGCTTTTTGTTAACCTATTAATAAAATATACAAAAAAAATATTTTAATATTTTGATTAATTTAAATAAATAAAAAATTATTCAATTTATTATGCTTTCTTGAATTCATTTGAATAAAAATTAAAATAAATCTTAAATTTTCTCTCACTCTCAGAAAATTCAATTCTTTGAAGATACGTTGAGATTTTACAATAGAAACATAGACTGAAGTCTTATGATTTATTACAAAATGAATAGATTTTTAATGAACTTATCGTTTAAAATTTAGCTTCTACTGTTTGTTTTCGCTTTGCATTAAAGCCCCCCCCCCCCCCCAAAAAAAAGACGGCCACCCTATATTAGAAGGCCGCTCTCTGTTTAAGGCCATGTTCGAACAAAAATTCAAGCGCTCTATTAGAAAGCCATGCACTAATTATTTACAAGAATGAAGAATTTTTAATAAAAATTAATCATTTTTTTGCCAAAATAACCGATTTTCTAGTGTTTTTTGGGGAAATTCTCACTGTTCTATCTTAAATAGTATAGTTTTTTGAAAAACATGTCAGTTTTTTCAGTGAAAAAGTCTAAAAAAGAATCAAGATTATTAATTCATTTTTAATTTTTTTAATTAATAATTGGCCAAAAATTGACCCTCAATAAAAGGCCACTGAAAAAATAAAGATGTGCTGAGACACTGTATAAGACAATGCCCTTTTAATCTGGGGGGAGGTTAAATAAGTGTTTCGTAAAAATCAATGTCTAAAATTTATTTAATCTTTTTTCTCAAAAATAAGATTTTTGCAAACAGACTTTTCTTTTCATAGCAATTCGGTATGAATATAATAGATGTTTTCTTATTATACAGGTAAGATTAGGTTATCACAGAGCTGAATTTTTAAATTTCTCTATTGCTGAAATAAAAAATTGTAAAAAAAATAAGCTCTACTACGATCTAGCTTTAAGAACATTTTACAACTTAAAAATTGCTCAGGTATCCTAATTACGAAAGACTTGACCACGCCTATGATAATTTCTATTCAAGACTAATATCTTCTATAATATTTGGATGAAATTAGACGAAAAAAAAAACATTTGTAGCCGTCTCCTTAATGGATTCATAGTTCATCAAATATGCAAAAACTACGAACTGAAGGTTCGATTTGAAATAAATATTCAATTAGAATGAATAAATGTTTTTTGTTTTTTGAAGTGTCTAATTTGAAAAATACAAATAATTATTTTAATTGAATGTTTTCGTACATAATTAAAATAAAGAGAACTATTTATCTATATAGTTTATCCTATTGAATAATTCAAAAAGAAAGCATCGGCATTATGAAGATCTCATTTAAGTAGAATTTTGTCGATTAATCTTACATTTGCATGATTTAGTTTATAATTTTTCCATAAAATATTAATTTTTTTGTGTGCATGTTTGTACAAACATTCCATATATTTAATTGTTTCTTCCCAACAAGAACCAGGTTCATCACTTAATAATGTACTAGATGAACGTGAAAAACGTCTTCGTTCATTTAACATTCTTTCTGTTTCACGTTTTTTTGTTTCCCTAAATTGTGTTGCAATAACAACAAGACATAAATTAATCATAAAAAATGATCCAATTACAATAAGACAAACAAAATAAATCCAATCCCAAAATGAATGTGCATCTTGAATATAATACATTATATTAACCCAATTTTCAAGACTTATTATCTAAATTAAATTAAATTAAAACTAAAAAAAAATAATTTTTATAATACTTGAAAGATAACGACCCATGCTAAACCAATATTATCAAAACTAATTGAACCTGAATATGGATTTTTATCGGATACATTACAAAATTTATAATATTGATTCCAATTAACACAACCATTGATTGGTTTACCTGGATATTTTGATGATTGTTCATTATATGTATGAAAATCAAGTTCACATGTTAGATTTCCTTTTCGTAATTTAGGAATATCTGAACATTTTGTCATTCCACTCGATTGAGGATGAGAACAAACAAATGAATCTTGATCAGGTGGAATATAAAAAGCTCGTAAATGAAAATCCCTTTTGAAAACAAAACAATAACAAAAAAAAATTATAATAATTCTACATATACAGTCGGTTCCAAAAATATTCAACAAGATGTAATTTCGATTCTATTTTTTCATAGATTTAAGTGCTAGAAAGAATTCAAATAGTAGTTTAAATAAAAGTTAATCATTATGAATATTCCCAAATGGCACGGCCCACCATCGGTCTCCTTCGTTGAGGAAGGTTCGAAATCAGTAAGATTCAGAAAAAAAAATTGTTATAGAGAATGTGATCTTGAAATATTATTAAGTTTGTTCCGTATTCCGAGTTACTCAGTTGACATATAAAACTAATATCATTTTTCTTTCCTACGAATTTAAAAACACGAATTTTTCACTTTTTAACCTTTCATTTTTGTCAAAATAATGAATGAAATTTTCAAAAGAAGATGAAAATAAATTAATCAATATTCTTAATAATTACAGAATAAAAAAAAATTACATCTCATAGTTAAAATTATCATAGAAATGGCACTAAACTGTCCTCTATGGAAAAATGGTGAAATTCCGTAACGCTCAGCTTTTTAAATTATCTTAGTTGAAGCTATTGTCCTATAGCGAAAACAACATGATATTCCAAGAGTTTGGGAAAAACTGAACAATATTTGTAACGAACGTTCATTTATGAGTAGTTTCGTTTCGTAGAAAAAGCGATAAAATTGGAGTGACCTCGAAAATTTTGTTCATTTTTTTGAAATTTCGTAACAGATGATGTTTTTCAAATAAATTCTGATAACTCAATGAAATTTTCAGTGGTGATAGAGCTAGTTAATCTTCATGTATGCCTCAAAATTTCAGAAATATTTCTCTTGTTATTGAGGAGATATGTATTTCACAAATTGAAAAAATGAAATTCCGTAACGCTTGGCAGTGCCGCAAAATAGAATTTCTGGAAGACTAAAATCCTGGTTCTTCAACATTGATTGTTTTAATAATACAAAAATTATAGAACAGCTAATGTTTGCTCTACAGAATGAGACATCTCCGAGCTTTCTACAACCTTTTCTTCAAAAGTTATTACTGTCACAAAAACCGACTAAAAAAAACGTATAGTTTCGATTTTGGTGACGCTGATAAATCTTGAAGGATATTTCATAGAAAGCTCGGAGACGTCTCATATTGTAGAGATTTAGCTGCACTACAATTTTATATTGTTAAAACAATGAATATTGAAAAAAACCAGGATTTTGATCTTCCAGAAATCCTATTTTGGATAAAATTCATCACAATTATCTTTTATTTAAATCACTAGTTCAATTCTTTCGATCACTTAAGAATACAAAACAAAAAAATATTCCAAACTACACCTTGTTGAATAATTTTGGTATCTACTGTATATATATATATATATGTCGCAGTTGGTTAGAGAATTTAGTTGAGATTGGAATTCATATAAATATAGAAATAATATCTATATCTATATTTTTAATTAATAGGAAAGAAAACAGAATTGGTAAATTTAGGAGATTATTTCACATATAATAGATAAATTATTCTTTTTTACGAGAGACAAAGTAAAAATATGAATGCTTTAAAATATATTATTAACTTAAAAGAATAGTTTATATAGAATATAAGGCGAAAATAATATGGCGGTTGTTTATATTAATTTGATTATTTATTTATTTTATTGATGAGCGGGACATGCGGGACATTTAAATTTGTATTAGATAAAAATATACAATTTTTTTTTCTTATAAGATAGATAGATTTTATTTCGATCAGCGGGACATGCGGGACATTGAAATTTCTATTAGATAAAAATATACAATTTATTTTTTTCTTATAAGATAGATAGATTTTTTCGATCATCGGGACATGCGGGACATTGAAATTTCTATTAGATAAAAATATACA